AGAGAGGCAGCGGGACTGCAGCCACCCTCCCCACCCCACAGCCATAGGCCACGTGGGCTGCTTCGGTTTCAATGGAAACTAGTTCAAGTGATAGAAAGTGGAGATGCAGTGCCTCAGTCGCCCAGGCCACAGCTCACGCGCTCACCAGAGCAGGGACGTGTTGGCCCGCACAGCTAATAAGTCATTTTCATCACTGCAGAAAGACCTCCTGGGCCAGACCACGCATAACTTAAGCCTAAAATTCTAGTAGGAGTGGGGCCAGCAGTTAGCGTAATGGCTATGTCACTGGACTCCCACGTAGTCGACCACGGTTTGCGTCCTGGACCCAGTGGCTTAAAACTCACGCCGGGCACGTGTGCATGTGTGCCCAAGATCCCGAGAGGAGAATGGAGGAGAAGGAATTGCGGCATGACCATCCCCCCTGGGGGGTGATCTCTCGCTTTCTGTCTCTCTGTCTGTCTCTGTCTGTCTGGCGAGTGCATGCGCCTTATAGCAAAAAAACCTCTAAAAAAAAATTCTAGTAGCAGTGTTTTATTCCAAGAGCAGTGGGAAGTACTGATCATTTTTTTCTAATATTTATTTTATTTTATTTTTATTTATTATTATTGTTCAACTTGACTGAAAAGGGGAGCAGGGAGTGAGAAAGCAAGCTGCCAGGTCCGAGACTCAAACCACAGTCAGCCATGTGGGAGTCCCACACCCTAGCCACAAGGCCACCTGCCAGTCCCATGTCCTGACCAAGTTTAAGCAGTATTGGGAACAGGAAAGAGTCCAGCTGGAGAAGCACCACTTTGAAAAAGAGAGATCCCATGGATGCCGCCTACCAGATCTGGGGAGCCGCAGAGTGCCCGCGGAAGCCCTGCTGGGTGGCAGGAGTGAGCTGGTTCCCTCAGGCATTGTGGAGGAGCAGAGGAATCTTCGGGAAGGCAGGGCCTGGCTGCACCTCCCTGCAACCACAGGGCTCCACCTCCACCAAGCCTTGGAAAGTGTGTGCTAGGAAGGCCAGGAGCCAGAGTCCAGCTCAGGTCTCAGGAGTGCATGCTGGGCTCAGGTCAGGGCAGGGCGCTCAGGTCAGGGCAGGGGCCCATCTGATGGGAGAAGGGCTCGGTGAGGCCGGCAGGGGCGAGGGAGCCCACACCCCCACACAGGGTCTACACAGCAGGTGAATTCCTTTCCTAGGCTGCTACAACAACCCGGGCAGCTTAAAGCAACAGAAGTGTGTTCTCTCGTAGCCCTGGAGGCCAGAAATCAGAAGTCACGGTGTCAGTGGGGGTCCCTCTGGAGGCTCTGAAGGAAGCCCGTTCCATGCCTCTCTCCCAGCGCCTGTGTGACCGCAGCCCTGGGTGTTCCTGGGCTTGTATCCACTTCGCTCTGCCATTGCAAGATCCTCTCTGTGCGTACCCATGAGTCCTCTCTGCGCTTCACTAAGGACACCAGCCATTGGATGGGGCCCGCTCTCATTCCACGTGACTTCTCTTGCCTTGGTTACCGCTGCAAAGACTTCATTTCCAAGTAATTGGAATACACATTCACAGGCTCCAGGGTTAGGATTTGAGCGTATCTGTGGGAGAGCAGGTGGAGCCAATTCCGCCCTGTTCACATGAGCCATGTGGCAGACGGGTAAAATGCTAGACTTCGAGGTCCCAGTAAGCTGAGTCTAAGAACTGGCTCAGCCTCTGAGCAGGTCTGAACAAACCACCTACCCTGACGAAGCCACCTTATATCGTCGTCCAGAGCACGGTGACAGTTTGGTGCCTCACGGGGCCACAGGAGGGCCGCACAAGGCAATCCCTATAGCACACACACCCACGTGTGGCATGTGGCAGGCATCCACTAGTGACAGTGGTTCCTACTACTTCACCAGGGAGCAGTCAGGGCAGGCGGACTGGGGCTGCCAGCCTAGAGGCAGAGCACAGGGTGAGCAATCTGGTGGGGCCATGCTGGGAAATCTAAGTCGGCGGCTTCCCACAGGGCTCCAGACCCGGGCAGCGAGCTGGGTTCAGGGCCAGATCTCAGTACCTGGGGAGGAGGGAGAGCTGCTCGGGAGAAGGCCATCATCCACAAGTTGTCTGGGAACATGGTCCCAAACCACTCTTAGAACCTGGTAGGAGGTTGCCCAGGTTTCCTTCTGAGGGACAAGACTAATTCCAACGAGCAGTGAAAGTGGCAGAATACCAAGGGCCAAGACACGGGGCTGGAACCAGTCAGGTCATTCTTGCCTTCAGTTCTGAGAGCTGGGGTGTGGTAGAGCGTGGGGCTGAGTACCATCATGCCGGGAGAGAGGCGAGCGAGAGGGGCCGGGGCAAGCAGGTGCTTGGTGATCTTGGTAGGGGGGAACTGCTTATGGGATGGAGTCAGGGTCTGGCTGGTCCAGAGGTGTAGAAAACGTGCAGAAAGGGCCTCCGCACGGCAGGAGGGACCAGCTAGTCACCGTAAGGCCACGGGAGCTGTCGGACCGTCAGCAGTGTGACTTTATTCAAGGACACGGTGACTGTGAAAATAATAGCAAAGGCCAAGGAGCTTCTCCAAGCCTCAGTTGCGTTCCATAAAAAGAACTGTGGGATGGGGTAGATGCTCGGAGGCCTCTCGTCCAGCTCTGACAGCCTATGATTTTATGAATCATCCTCAAAGAAAACTTGCACAAGTGGGAAGAGCCTGCCAAGATTGGGCCTTTCATTCTGAGTAATGAAGTGAAACGGCAAAGGCTTGACATCTGTTCCGATCTTGCAAGGGAAGTTGGACAAAATAATGCCTTTTTCAGGGAAATTGCAACCAACAGTGAAGTGGAGTATTTCCTGCTG